CGCCGAAGAATAATAGAAGCGGCTCCGTATTATTTTCACGCTGCGGCTCAATCGAGTTATCGAACATTCAATATTAGACCGACCACCAGCCCGTCGTCAACGTAAAGGATTTCCCTCGAAGCGTTGATTCCATATTTCTTTCACTAATTCCAGTTCGATGTCAACACGTGGAGCTCGCGACTTCGTACGTGCACCGTGAGCCGCTTTATCTTCACGATCTTCCAGCTCGCAGGTAGTTTTGCTGAGAGAATGTACGAGCCGCCGTCGATGTAATGGTTAATTATAAATCGATTTATCTTCAGCGATTGCTGTCGCTGCCGTTGCCGCCGCGTCGAGACAACGGCGAAAGCGATAAAACAATGACGACGTCGCGACACACAGAAATCACTGGTCGACCTGAAAATCTGCGATGCTTCGTCTCGACTCGATTCGGAAATCCCTCATTCGGCTCAGAGATGTGCCGGTGACTAACATCGGAATTAAGCAATAGACAAGAGGAGAATGAGAAGGCGCAGCCATGATTCCGCTTGAGCTGATCATGATTTGATCTTCTCAATTCCCCGCTGAACTCCTCTTCCCTATGTCTTATCGTTGGAGCCTCCCTCACATTGGAGCTTCGACTACTTTCCAAGGACTCGCCGGGACCCCATGCGGTTTCGAGGTCGGTCTGAGCAAGCAACATGCATTGAGCTTTTCTGGCCTTCGAACTAGCGGAATCACATTCTCTCGAAGCAAGATATTCTCTGTTTTCCGGCCATGTGATAGAGAGTTACTCTTTTCCTCAACACAATAGAGGGACAGTATAGCAGAATAGCGACTTAAACTAGGCTCGAGAATAGAACGTTGAACATGAGTGAAATATGGAGCCGAATGTTATTTTCGGGATCGCTTCAATCGTTGATCTGCTCCTCATCGAATCTGGCAACGAATGGGGACCTGTCCTCCTCGCTTTCGATTCATACAGGGTCTGCGGCGAACCCCGCCGAAGGAATCGGGAGCGGTACAATCCGCTCCAAGCGGTGATAGCATCTCCGGGCGCGCCATTTTCTGAACTCTACTTTTTATTTCTGCATTTTCGGCTGGGTACATAAATCGTCATTAGTGCATCCGTCGCCAGTGGAGCTATTTGCTCAGCCATTATTAATTGTCCGGCTCTATTTTAGATATGTATACGTGCGTGGTCAGATGCTATCGCCGAAGACATGCGCGGCATTTATGATCTTATTTCTCGGGCTATTTTTCAATATTTCGCTTTATCGTATCAGTCCTACGAGTGAGCGATATGTGTACATCCGCAATCAAAGAAAAGAAGTTGATAAAAAACGACGACATACGATGAATTCGTCTTAAAGAGGGCCTGGGCCTGGACCGCATCCGTGGAGTCACAGTGCAGGGATCGCAGTCCTCGGGATGAAGACGAACGGCACTCTCTCAAGGAGTCAAGACTGATCGACCAGCCACGTAGCTATGTTTATCTCGACCTCCGCAATATATGATTTTTTTATTTTGAAAACGAGCCAATGATTCGATTTGTCAGCATCCATCACCGACGGGCACGGGTGTGGTTGTTACGTATTCTTCTTTCAACGCTCTATTATTTACCAGAAGAAGTCTTTTCTTTTGTGAGCAGCCCGCGGCTGACAACGGACAACGCGACGGTCAGCACGACATGAGAACCGATTCATGATTTTTTTCATCGGTTTCGATCCGCCCTTCCCGACGACGATATCGTCGCAAATTAGAAGCTGCATGCTTCGGCAAGAGCTTTCAAGAGTCTGCATCATCCATAGCTACCGAATCGGCACCTGACAAGAGCACCCGGCGCAATCGAGAGCGCAGGAGTGGACGCGAGAGAGAAAAGAAATCACCCACTGCAGCGTCGGCAGCTCCGTCGACGTCGAAGAAAAGACGAACTTTCATCTATGGTATTCCATTGCGGCTGAAGATTTTCGGCTACTCCCATTCGATTGTCGCGCAGAAGTTTCATTCCTCCGTCTGCCGCGGCTTGATCCACGGCTCGTAGCTTATGTAAAAAAAGAGGTACCTACCTCATGCTAGTCTCGGGCGCATGCAGACTTCGGAGAGAAAAATTGTTTTTCATTGTATGATAGACACGATTCAAGTCGGACGTGTTATGCTGATGGTCTCGCTGCAGGGCTATGACTTTCTATACGAATTGATTGAGCTGTCCGTTAGGAAACACTCGAATTCATAGGTGCAGTTTCACTCCCGTGTTTTGTTTGTCAATCGCTTGATTCGAGTAGCGTGCCGGTTCGTCGTCTCACAAAACGCAAACCCAAATTCACAGAGAGCTCCATTGTCGGAGTCTGCGGTCGCCTCCGTCATCCATCTCTCGCTGCGGCAGAAGGGAAGTTCGAACTCGAGCTTTTCGCGCGCCACAAAACTCCAAAGTGGGTCACTTCATAGATAAACATCGTCAACAGTTGGAAATAAATATATTTCTCTCGCTCAGACCTGATCCGGTATTTCATTCTCGGTGTCAACTCGCTCGGCGTGATACCTCATCACGAATATCGCTTTCGGGCACCATATTCGTGGGCTGTGGTCCAGGGCGTCGTGGGAATCCTAATTCGTTCGATTGTTCCCGTCGGGATCGACTTGATATTTGGTCAATTCCTCCTACTCGGAGGTGGATGCTTTCGAAATTACGCTGGTCTACACGCATCTGAATTTCTGTCGGAAGTGCGAGACGAGCGAAAGTTCTCGGGCTCTTGCATGGAATTCCTGTGATCGAGACGGCCGCCTTCTCTGGAGAGGCAACCTGACTGGGCTCAGGAGGATGTCCTGTCTCTGCGGCTTCATTTGACAAATTTTATGAATTCTCCTCCACTCCCCCATCCCCTTTTTCGCGATGTTTCTCCCTAATGGTTTCTTTTGGCTGTGGCGCTCGCACGATGACTTCGTGGCTCGCTCGTAGCTAACGTCCATGTTCATGTTCATGTCCACCTGAACTTGAAGATCATTACGACCTCAGCGTTTCGGATCCGCTATGGGAGTTTCGACCTGAGTCGAAGCCAAGTCCAGAAGCCAGAGTGAGCAGGAAGGAAGTCGAGCAAAAATGAGATTCTCCAAAGCCAAGTGCCTTCAGGGCTCGGTAGAGCGTGCGCCGAGTTCAGACTCTCGGAACCGATCTCTTGTCCGGCGAGAGAGCCTTGGAGGAATTCGGGCTCCAAGGAGAGTATTCGAAACGAGAGATCCGGAACGCTACCGAATTCAAGTACATTTCCGTCGCTACAAGCGCTAAGATCTTAGCGCTGGAGGCCAGGTACAGAAGAGTTGTGGAGGGATATAATCCGGACGAATTCACAGATATGCCTTCCGTTGCACTACTTTGGAGTCCTGCCAGAAGTGGTCGATCGTCCGCTTCTCAGGTCTTTGAGAGAATATTATTAATGCATTACATCACCATCGTCAGGCAGCGAAATGTTCATCCATCTTGTGAGCCGAGCCAATTGTCATTTTGAGCCTGGCACGTCGTTTTGCATCTCCTCACCGGTTTGCATGTCCGCCGCTGTATTCGAGTTCACCAACCCACCACCGCCTCGCCCTGTAAACCGAATCTAAAAGCTTCGTTCAGGTCGTCACAATCGTTCTCGTCGACATTATCGCAAATTTCACCATCAGAGCGGTGGTTGAGCCTCGTCATTTGACTCGAGAATTCCCTAAATTCCGGCAATGGCGGAAAAATTCTCGAACTTGGTGCATTTCACGAACATTTACGCTGAGAAAGATTTCTCGCAAGGTTCGTCTCCGCTGTCGTAACCGCACCAACAACGCGGGGGATATCGGCCCTCAAAACAGGCGATTTCGCGGGAGAATGCTCGAAGCTCGTTATGAAGGGTCGGACATTTTGCGAAGCGAGCTTATCGCCGGAACAGGACAAGACCGATTTCGATTTTAAGCGACCTTTGTACTTCGATTTGTCTGGATTTTAATTCTAGCCACTCACAAACTGACAGTTTGAAGGAACTGCTTCGGGCGAGCGAATTTAACGGAGCAATAATTATTGAGCCATTGCCGGACGACGTACGATGGGGAGACCAGGCCTCCGTATCAAAAGCGAACACGAATCGGTACGCTGATCGTCTGTCTCCCGTCGTTTCCACTATTTCCAAAAGAAAAACACAACAATGATGATCCAAGATATGTAAATTCATCATCCATGGTTTCCTCCAGTTCCGATCGGAGAGCGGATAAGATTCTGGAACACCGACGCCGACGCGACGGTGGATAAGGTACGAAAAAAATTAGATTCCCCCATTTTCATCGCGTATCGCGACAAGCTAACGACACCGTCGATAACTGCTTGACCGACGCTCACTGGAAGCACTTAAGGAATCGACTCATGCAATTTTTCTGGAACGTACCTATTCTGATCCTATGACCCGAGGCACAATCCTACCGAGGGATTTTTTGCCCTACGAACACCGTAGCTCAGGACAGACCATTGTCGAGCAGGGGGATCGCTTACTTCTCGTAGAATCCGAACAGACTATCTTCGAAGGAAAAAATGATTTCTTCCGTTATGAGAGCCAAACGCGGCGGAAACGGACGCTGCCCTGAAGCCGAGGCCTTCCCGATACCCTATAGACCCAACCTCGTCTTGTTTTTGAAAAAGTCTGATAGATCACGTCTCCGAGTGGAATGAGAAACTTGAATATGCGCCCGTGAAGGCGAAGATGAACAGCTGACGGATAACTGGCCGATGGGCGAAACCCCACCCACAAGCAGCATCTATCCGTTTGGTGGTCAAAGCTGATTTTCCGTTCAAGGAGTTTCTCCTTTCAGCTATAAATGCAATGCGTTGGCGTTTCAAGCCAGAACAGTATTCTTCTTTTGTGGGAGGAAAATATCGTCACTTTGAGTCTTCTTTCTACCGCAGCAATATCGGATACGTAACTTCGGATGCGTTTCATGAGTCGCCGCCAGCTCTCAAGAAGATAGCTATCGAACAACTAGTCAGAACGCAGGTCTTCGATGGGTATGATGTTTTTACTTTCCGTCGATGAACTACACCGAGTTTTATAATCGAACGGACATTTCTCATTTTCTCACATTCTCGACGAAGAATCAGATCGGCGTCGGGCTTCACGATCTCTTCATCAATATCACAGCTTGGAACGCTTTTTCCGGGCTTCATACCGTCCAGCGAAACACATCGTGAGCGGTGACTTCTCGTAGAACAGATTCTCGACTATGCTGAAATGATCCTCCCCCGGAATCACAAGAACTGCTCTTTTCCGGAAACCCTTCCGGGCCAAGCGATGTGCGAATTTCTCTGCCTGTTTTCTGAAAGCTGGTGGATCGAACTGGCCTACGATAAGATGCAGCTCGATCTGGTCGTAGCACGGGTGCGGTGAGACAGTGAATTTTTCGACCTGCAACAGGAAATTTTCGACATCGAGAACCCATAGGAGGAACTTCTCGAGCACGGCCCGGCGGATTCGAAGGTGAGGATCTCGAGGATCGCTGAGGGGGACGGTCGGGACTTCTCGAGCGCCCTGCCTACGAATAGTCACCCCGCTCACCTGATCACTATTGAATCCGATCTGTACTCCAACAGTCGTATTGGCGACGTCCTGAATCGAGTAGACACCCGAAACACAGAAAACTTTGCGGATGCCCCGAAGAGAACTGAGCCGAGGAAGGGCTACCATGATCAGATGACCACCGGCGCTGTGACCTGAACGGGAGATATCGTTTCCATGTCAAATGTTCCGGAGACCGAAATCACTCGTGATGGCAACTGTGTTTTGAGTCCCCGAAAATCGAACCTGACAAGAGAATCGAACTGCTCGGGAACAGTTCCTGTACTTTCTCGACGCCTCTGACAACGTCCTCGACGCAATGGTCGAGCCCTGACCCCGGCGAGGCCAACCTGTACCCAAGAGTTACGGCCGTAATGTTGTGGAGATGGAGTCCGTGTGCGATGAAATTGTGCATGTGCCGGTCGCCTGACAACAAAACAATATTAATCCAGACTTGAATCTCCTTCGAGCCGAGTCGAATCTGAGAGGATCTTCGGGATGAGGACTCCGATTGTACATCCGCAATACTTCGTCTCGCCCACCCTCGAGCCAGAAGCCTCCGTGGACGAACACGAGTACCGTCTCGTCGGTACCGCATCGCATGATGTTCAAGCCTTGACGCTCGTCCGGACCGTAAGAAACGTGTTCCACCGGGGAGACCAGGTTGTTGTGATGACCTTGGATCTCGCATAGGTGGAGGAACCTGGAATTCAGCATCGAATCGTTAGAGCGAGCATTAAGGGAGATTATGATTCTCACGGCCACGGCTCGGACTCGTGAGGAGATTCGGCTGCGAAGATTCGAAAATCATTACAGGGCTGTGCTAGGCATGGCATGGCATGTTCCATCTCACCTTTGCATCCGAGCGACTCCTTTGAGACCCGGCGACCATTGGGAAGGCATGTAGTTTTTCTCCACATCTTCGTCGACGGTCAGTACCTCCATTCTGCAAGGAAATCACAACGTTTATTCCAAGAGATGCTTTCCTGTTCGGATCGATTCTCGGTGACTGACAGCGAAACAGCGACTGGATGAGGGCGAGAGCCGGCGCGGCTGTCGGAAATTCAATGAAGTCACAGACAGGAAGAAAGCCTTCGAGGAAATTCTGGCGTGAGGCGGCGGCTGCAGGCATCCATGGCGAGTGAGACGGATATTCGGAATTCTGTGATTATTAGCAGCCGACGTAAGATGAGGTACTGCCCGCGCCGTAGTGAATTTAGCCCTTCCCGTCGTATCATGGATCGTCCGGCAGCGCATGCTCGTCCAGGCGGCCGGAAGGACACCTCCTGAACAGCTCGTTCGGACGTCGACATCGACGCGTGATGATGATCGAAATCATGAGAATCCATCGCGAGGGCTATTGTGACAATCGATGGAGAAAATCGGGAGGGGGAATGCAAAAGAGAACAATCGCCGATGGAGATGTACGTGATGGGAAAGCTGTGCGGTGGCGGACTCTCTCTGAGCGAGAGGAGCTCGTTCGCAAGGAAGGTGAGCCGCTGTCATCAGGTGACATCATGGAGTCGGTTCAACCACTGTCCGGCTCAAAAAATCAGCTGAACCAATGAGCAAACGGAGAAGCGGATGCCGGATCGCCGTTCCTCTGCCTCTGCTCTACGAGGATCGAGGAACGAGCGGGGAAGACTGAGAGATCGAGACGAACAAACGAGCGCGAAAGACATTACGACCAATGGGCTCGGCACCGCGGGACATGGAAGCGGAGATGTTGTTTGCGCTCGTCACACTCTCGGCAAATAGAAGCTCCTACGATTGCTACAACACGCGCCGACTTCCCCTGCCTGCGGTGGGAACCTAGTAGCGTGTTGATGTTGGTAGATTACCACTGGCGTCATTTGACCGTACTCTGTTGCGGCACGGCCCTCCATCGCCATCCATATTAATTTCGGCGGCGACACGGGAGGACACCCGCCGCCGCCGCACCGTCGCTGTGGCCTTCGTTGAGAAGATGATCCAATCTTGTCGAGCCAGCGGCAGCAGAGAAGCTGCGTAGCCGCATCGTCGTCCGAGCGTCCGCTGCTGCAGCCTCCACTCATTCAGCCTAGAGAGCGCTCTACACTCTTTGCTGCTTGTCTCCTGGACTGACCGAGCGACGGACCGACCGACCGCTGGTCGGTCACCAGGAGCGGAGTCTCGAATGTCACCACACCTTTTTTCTTATCGCTTGCTCATCGAATTCTTATTGATTGGACAGAAACCTTATACGTCGACCTTCGTGGATAGACGATCAAAGGAGATCTGAAAGCAGCTCGAAGCTCGGTCGAGAGAGCCATCAAACGATGAGACCGCGAATACGATAGAGATGAGCTTGCGGAAGATCCAGAACTATGTCTTGCGGCGCTCCCAACGGCTTCCCCTTCCTACCATCCCGCGCGCATCGAGCTCCGCGAAGTCCCCCCCATTTCGCACCTCCTCGCGAGAGCTATCCTGGGGGGCATGGGTGGAACCCGCGTTCTGCCGATTTCCTTCCGCTGCGGATTACCCGGCGATGTTTGCGAGCTCGCGATCGCGGAAATTTCGGGGACGGAAAATAACTCACATGTCTGAGCGCTGTTTGTCGAACAGAAGAACTCGGAGAACGACCAATTACTGCTTCGTTCACATGAGCGCTTTTAAGGGGGCGCGTGGTGTTGACAACTCCTGTCTCACAGCAGACGATATAGATAACGATAACGGGGAAGATGTCGAGGCGCGGAGCTGCTTGAGCTTCGAGCGAGCCGATTTCTCGTGGTTGCCGTCGAATTCAGTCTCGCGCTGGAACGATAGAGACTTCAACATTCTCGATCGGACTCCGATTTCTTCCGCTCGGTGCTTCCCGCGAAGGAAATATTCTCGGAAACCGCAAATTGTGCGAGAAGGAACAGAACTCACTCATCATTTCGATTTTCCGCTTGTGGCGCTCCTCGCGTGGCCTGCCGGTTTAATCTTGTTGCGCTCGGAAGAACGCTATCGGATCGATGATTCGATATAATACTGTGACCGGAAGAAATCTCCCTAATGATAACGCCTCCGTTCTTTACGATCTTCTTTCGAAACTGAGTCGAAACAGCTGGCCGATCTGTGGGCGTTTCCAGATCCGAGCGTCGAGAGATGTGTTCGCGGGACACCGCCGATAAAGAATCTCCAAAAGCCGAGAAAACGCTAATCCCCGCGCACGCGCAGAAAAAGGACATCCAGAATTCACTGGAAGTTATTCATTATATCACCTATTCTACGGTTCGAAAAATCGGACAAGTTTCTCGTTAAGCGATGAGAATGAGAAAACCGAATAATTCCTCAACCGAGCTTTGAGTGGTCAGTAACCTGTTGATCGATGCGCGTCCGTGTTCACACAGCGTCAGGAGAGCAACAGGGCGGAGGTTCTCTAGGCTAGACTCGAAGCCTCGCTGGCAGCAATAAATCATATTTGGAGGAGCGAAGCTGAAGTGTCTGAAGTCAATCAGAGGGGATCAGAGAGCCAGAGTCAACAGACAGGAAGAGGTTTTTGAGAACTTCCACCGCATCGATCAACGTTATCCCACAAGCACCACACCGACGACGACGACGACTACGACGAGTTAGAAACCAATGTCGTAGGTCATGGAACCCGCTCAGATGTTCGGCCTTTCGCCTGCGCGTGCAGACGGGACTACGCGAGTACATGAACGAATGGAGCTAAGAGCGATCGGAAGAAACAGAATACCACACGAGTCCGAACGTTCTCTGACAACGGGAACGGATTCTCGGATCCGCGGCTCATCCCGGCAGATTGCCATGTATCTCAGTGTTCTTAGAAAGATAGATACATTGTCGCTGATCTATGCCGCCGTTTGGCTATTGAGTGAGTCTTGCTCGCCGGCAGTCCGACGGACTCGCAGCCGGGAGGATGGCGAGCGTGCGGACATTGGGATTGCCGTTAGTTGATGCGTCTTGTGACCCGCCGTCACTTACTCGAATGAGCGGATCGACAAAATGTTTACCTAACGTCAAGACAAGGAGCTCTCCTTCCGACAATCGTTTTTCCCGATTACCCATACCGTACGTCATGAGATCAGCCCCGGATCTTGAGAAGCGCAGAAGTAGATAAATTCTGCGAATAGAGATGACCGAGATCTTCTCGATCTCCCTGACGCCGATAGCCGGCAGATATTCCCAAAGAGTCCCATAGCCGAGCCGAGTCTCCCAGATGCGAGCTTGAGCGCCCTCACACTGATTCGATAACTCTCGAATACGAGATCCTGAGCTTCCGGAAAACCGCATCGGCAGGAAACCCACCGACTCACTTCGAGTTGGACTCTGCCGTCCTCTCAATAAGGGACATCGGCCGTGAACGGTAATATGATATTTCGATACACATTCGCCACCCGTGAACCATCTTTTTTCTCACACATTTCGGTTGTCGATACCGACTGTCAACCAAGAGTTGCCTCGAATTTTCGCGAGACAGTCCGCGCCAAAAATCTCTCGGTGTTCCCTCGATATCGTACCGAGCGAACGATGCTCGCTGGCTCGTTCGCCATAAGCGCCGGCGCAAACAAACGACAAAGGATATTGCTAGCGAGGTCCTCCATCACACCATAATACATGATACAACAGCAGATCGTCTATTCGGATCCGCTACCGAATGCCTTCTCCGAAAGCGCTCTTCCTGAAAGGTGGTTTCGTTTCTTTTGTGATTGGCTCCGAGGGAAGATCGCATTTCGCCTTCGCTAACACGGCTGATCGAGGAGGAGAATTGAGTGGATCCGATGTGATTTTCCAATTTCCGACTCATTCCAATCCGCTCAGACGGCGAAAATCAAAACCGAAGCGAGCGCCGTGGACGCGGTGGTGATCGAGCACCCGCTCCTATTAGGAATGAATCAATGCTTTCTAGTCCATGAACTTCAAGAAAGAATCCAGCACCGATTTTTCTTTCCCCCGTCCAGGGTTAACTACATCGCGGTGAGGAGTTGTTCGATCTCCTTTTGTGCTCGAGGAAAATCACGGAGGCTCGCGGTCGTAACTCGATGAATTCATCAATTGACTTGATTGAAGGGACTGACTGACCGAGTCAGCATCATACCTTGCGGAGTGACCGATCCGTCTCCCGGGTTCAAGTCCATTCGTCAGCACTCTAAGTTGTTCTGGTTAGATTGAAATCTACAGCCGTCGGGATTCGGATTTCTCGATGAGTTTCGGCCTCGGGCGATCCTCGGCTTGTCTTATTTTCACGTGACGGCTGCGGTAGCTTCTCCGTTACGGTTTCGGTGGTATGTCGACTGCTGTACGAAATCCGATTCACGCGAAGAGGAAACCTGTCCAGCAGGCGATTCGTGATGTACCTGCTCGCCAAACCCCGATAAGCAGATTCCCGATATAATTTTTTGATGTTCGTTATCGTTCGCTGAAGTCGAAGGGCCATTAACTATCAACCAACGGGGGATAACCTCTGACCGAGTCGGGGAAGCTGCTGCTTTTGGCTGCCGCTGCCGCCGCCGCCGCATCGCCGCCGTCGTCGTCTCTGTTGGCACTTGAGCTTCGCATGTTGCCGCTCGCCGGACCTACGAACGTCATTAGCAGTTTCAGATCGCAGGTCTGGCGTTCCAGCGCTTCAAATGGATCGTGAGACCAGAGTTGGTAATTCATACACGAGCACCAACACCAGGTAGCCGACATCGCAGATCATTCGAGTGGTGCGAACTGTATGATCTGCGTATCCCATATCAACGCATTAGTCAAGAGCTAGATTTTCCTAAGGATATTATTTGAGTCTCGATGTAAAATTCTGATCCTCCCGCGAGTTGATTCCTGGTCGGACATCTCCCTGCCTCATTCCAACGAATGATCGCGTTGTGCGATCTCAGATCGGCCAAGCGTATTCGGGACGGTATTTAGGCGTAAAATCATTCGGATCACGATGATATCTCCATTGTTCTCATATCATGGTCCGGAGTCCTGAGCAGGGTCTAGTCTGCGCTGTGACAAGCCCATCGACCGACGATGTAAAAAGTCGGTCCGGGTCTGTGTGCGCATGGCTCACCTGCTCGAGCGGCTTATGCAACTTCCTGTAGGTTTCGGCAGCGAGATAGAGTTACCCCTTTGATCGATGAAGTGCCACCGAGGAGCTCGATGTTTCCATTAAGTTCAGGAAGACTTCTCTGAGAACTGAGTTTGTTTGCCGTTTTTCTTGAGCGACGACTCGCTTCTCATCATACATTCGACTTCGATTATCGGAATGTCCAGGACTCATATTCGATTCCGTTAGCGATTCGGCAGAAGCCGACTGACTCCGTCCGCAATTAGCTACCGCGCTCACCACTTCCGATTGAAATCGAGAGGAAGGAGCGCGCTTTCCAATCCGGTCATCTTGTCCAATAGCGGAGCCCATTCTCGTTGCATTTGTTCCGCTCCCCCGATGGGCGAAGTTTCCCACAGAAGATCGAGCGTGGTCTGATGCTCCTCTGTCGCCGTATGGTGTGCATTCGGAACGAACTACGGAAATCAAAAGTAGTCACAGTACGACTAGTCTTCAATCCCGATTCATAGGGACTTGATCCTCCCGACCAGAATGTTGTTTGTAAGGGTGTTTGTTTGTGCGTGAACATCCGACCCGAATAAAAAACAAAGCGACTCATATTTCAATAGCTGACTCGTCGGTTGAGTGCGGAGTGAGACACCGGGAGCCGCAAAACGATTGGGGGTCGCAGTGCCGCGGAAGGGGGGCAGATGGCTCCGTACGAATTAGCGCAACAGGGGGTTATTTATTTATTTCCTCGCTCACTCCCCCTCCCGTGGTCGGGTGTGGCTGGGAATTTTGCTCGAAATCGCCCATTCCCGAGAGCAAAAAATCTCTTATTTTCGTTCATTTTTCGCGAGGGGACGATTCCCGTAAGGGAAATACAGAGCTCCGGGATCAGGATACGCTCTGATGAGAGGTGACCGAAATGCCTCGACGTAAGCCTATCTGACTAGCTCGCGGCTCCGATTACGCCGATTCCGATAGTGGGAAACTCAACCCTTTGACTGAAGTGCGTTGTTATTGCCTCCGATGTTGAATTCGGTTCCTCTCGAGTGATCAGGCACCGGTCAGCCGACCGACACATCGAACGGATGGATGGACGTATTGGTTGCTCCGACACACGGACATACAACGGGGGCACCGAATGACTGTGAAGAAAGCAACTTAACAAAAAGGATCGAGCGTTCAGCCAACAGACATACCTACCCACTACAACCATGCCGGCCACAATCGAAACCTGAGCGGCGACGGAATTTTTTCCTATAGCGGCCGTTTCTTGCAGGAGCATTGTCGATGTTCTACTGAAGATGCGGACGTCGAATGTCGCTTGGCCAGTGATGCCACTCGGTCGAAGCACAAAGAGTTTCTCTCGACAACGAACGTTGCAATTGCTACCAGCAGTAACAAAACCTCGACGGCAACGACAATCGATCCGTTCAGTCTTTGCAAATTTCAATCCGTACCCACAATTGCATTACGCTTCCGTCACGAGGGACTAGAAGCTGCCGGTGGAAGCTCGAACCCCTTACGCAAGTCAAATCGCTCGCGACAACGATCTCTAACGATTCCTCGGAACAGGTTTCGCGGTCGATCGAAGAGCACCTGAAGTGAACGATAAGTTGTGCCTCGGAATTCTGTCTGAATCGTTCTCATCCGACTAAATCACGGAATCCTCCCCATCGGAA